CAATACCAGCGCTGGCTTTTCTACTTCGAAGAAATTATATCCTTATCCCTGAAGACGTGTTAGTATTCAACAGAAACATACTTAGCAACTAAGAAATTAAATTGTAAAAAGCAAATATCAGTTTTACAAATTAACGGTAGATATGTAGGTCGATAAACAAATATAAATACGGCTTTCCGTGAATTTTATAAACTTTTATTATATATTCTATTATACAGGGTGTCACGAAATTAGTTGTCAATATTTTAACCACGTATTCTGTGACCCAAAATTAGTATAAAAGTTTTTAACATACAGGGTCTTAAATATGAAGAGGTGATGTAAATATTTTCGAAACACGCTTTACAATAGGTAGTTTGATTTGTCTTTCGTTAATAGAAGTATTTATAAGAACAATCCAAGTAAAAACTATTTTTTACCAACAATGAACAAAATTGAAAGCTGTGGAATAATTCACATTTTATTTTTATTTGCCCAGCAATACAAATGAAACGCGTTAATAACTTCCAAGGCTTACTAATGATTATCTGCACCTCGATTACATAAAAAAAATATTTCGTAATTAAATTTTCGAAATCATTTTTTTCGAAAACGGTGTGCTAGGATGCGACACATGCAGTCCAAATTACGAAAATTCGACAAACAAAAAATTTGAGAAAAACTTTTCCCACGCCTCCCTTGTGGTACCCACCCCTAAAGACAATCCAATATTAAACTAATAAATAAATAAATAAATAAAGCCTAAAAAGTTTAGTAACTGTACCAAATTTCATTTAAAAATATTTACAAAAAATCGCCATCACCTCTTCAAATTTAACGCCCCCCATGTTAAAAACCTTGACGTTTTGTACCCTAGTTTATAAGAACCTTTATCCGTATGTTGGGTCACAGAATACAGAATTAAAATATTGACGTCTTATTCGGGACACCCTGTATACTTATGAACAATATTTTCTATCAATTTCCTTAATGTATACATGCAATGTCAGGTTATTCTGTACTATTTGTGACTAATTAAATGAGTTTTAATTAAATAAGTTTTAAAAACATTAGAAAAGAAAACTGCACAAGTAAAAATGTCAATTTATCAAAATCCTTGAAAATATTACGCAAATCAAATCAAATATGATCTTATATGTTATTGGTCCAGTACTTATAAAATTATCTGATTTATAACAGAGTGTAATATTGATCTGATAAAATAAATCATTCACTTCTTTTTCCTAAATTAAAATATTATGGTTTTAATAACGCAGCTTCCTTTATTATAAGTTGATATTTAGACGATAGGCTTCAACAGATAGACTTATACAGTATAATAATAATTTATCTGAACAAGTACATACTGCGTCTGGCGTTCTAAACGGTTTCGTCTTAGGACCCTTGTTCTTGTATGTATGTATGTATTGTATGATGCTCAAGCATATTAAATTTGAAATATGGCTATGTTATTTGGTGTATAAGAGGCCCCGTTAGGCTAAAATTATTAAGACTAATGGCGTCCATAACATAAAGTACACTGCAACAAATGTGTGAAAAATTTCGTACAGCTTTTCACTGAAATTTTCATCTAATTTCAACACAATCGAATGAATATTTTTCATATTTTTTTTCATATTGAGAACTGCATTTTCAGACCCATATTTATAAAAATCCTATATATTTTAATTTAAAATTTAAAATATCTCCGTCCATTTTTTGAACACACTGTATTTGTTAATGAAGGCTTAGAAAATCCAATTTTAAAAAAACATGCCTTGAAACTTAATCCTGAGAAATATGATTATATAATTTTTGAAAGCAAGAATACAGTGGATTTTCTTAAAATCAATACTGATATCCCTATAGGCAATACTAAAATAGGTTTAGTTAAAGAAACAAAAAACTTAGGAATAGTAATCTACCATAATCTTATATTTAAACAATACATAAAAATTATATTTCTAAGAACTTTTTTGCTTATAAAAATCTTGTCCTAAAATTTGTATGGGACAAACAGGTAGATCCTTCAAGAAACGCATTAACGAACATAAAAGATCGTTTAAAAACAATAGTTTAGATTCTAATTATGCTTCACGCTTAAACACAGAAAAACACATTTTTGACGACAATTTTGATATTTCACATACAGCCGCAAAAAGTAGAAAATTAAATTTATTGGAAACCATGGAGATTAACAAAATGAGACATTCAAACGTATTGCTTAAAGATCAATTAGACCTTCCTTTATTGAACTTAAATTCTCACAACAACGTTAATTAAGGTTTTATGGTCATTTTTCGGTATATATAGTAGCAGGTAGTTTGTAAATATTACCTTTGATAAAGACAGGGTGTTGTCGAAACAATTGTCATGTCATAATATATAATTTCGGGAAAATCTGAACTTTTAGTTCTTATTTATTTTGATAAATGGATTTTCATCAAGTAAAAGCCACCTCAGTTCGACTTGTAATGGCTTAACATGAATTTTAGACATCCGCATCGTCTTTGCACGTGTGATATGAAATTATTAAAGACAAAGACCTAGAAAAAAAATAAATTGTCGATTCCATCATTGTCCATCAGAATGCTTTATAGGTTCTAGCTTTCGTTTCCTTATAATGCAGCTTTTTATGATAACCCATATATAAGAAACTGCCTTAGTAAGTAAATAATTGTTTCTAATTTAAATTTTATGAGTTAATGTTAACGCAAGTGCCTATTATTGAACAGGGCATTCTTTTCAAAAATTATATAGGATATGCATTCCATTTCCTGCTTAAAAATTTGTACTTAATCTACAACATACTTGCTAGTTCAATATAGTAGCTCTAAGCTAGACTAGACACTAATTTTTTAAAAGTTGTAAATAATAAATAACAACAAATAAATAAATATTAATAAGTAAACAAATATAAACAATAAATAAATAAATAAAAATAAATAAGTCACAATATTTAATTCATACATTTTATTACCATTATTACATATGTAAAATTTATTTATCCAGGTTTACATCTTTGCTCGTGAACTTTAAAAGTTTCTAATGTAAATCCTTCCTAAAATTTATCGTCAAATATAGACAAACTTAATTAATAACAATAAAAATAAATAAATAATTAATATTAATTCAACAAATATAAATGATAAATAAAAAAATAAAAATAAATAACGAAAACAATTAAATTACATTATTTAATTCATTTATTATTATTACCATTATTACATATGTAAAATTTATTTTTCGAGGTTTACATCTTTGCTCGTGAACTTTAACTTAAACGTTTCTAATGCAAATCTTTCCTAAAATTTATAGTCAAATATAGACAAACTTAATTATTAATTATAAAAATAAATAAATAATTATTAATAAATAAACAAATATAAATGATAAATAAATAAATAAAAATAAATAACGAAAACAAATAAATTACATTATTAAATTCATTTATTATTATTACCATTACTACATATGTGCAATTTATTTATCGATGTTTACATTTTTGCTCATAAACTTTAAAAGCTTCGAATCCAAATCCTTCCTAAAATCTATAGTCAAATAATTAACTTGATTGTTGTAAAGATTGTTATTCTAATATACTAATTAGAGGGGGTATTTGTAAAACAAATTTTTGCTTGGTCCACGTTACAGGCATAAATAAATAAAGTAAATTAATAGATTATTTAATATAATTTTATCCCATTTTATTTCTCCAATAACATTTTGTTTGGGGTGGGTCAAAGCTTTTTACGATAACATTTATACAACAAGCTCCCTTAATAAGTAAATAATTGTTTCTAATTTAAATTTTATGAGTTAACGTATTAATGCAAGTGCCTATTATTTATTAAACAGGGCATTCTTTTCAAAAATTATAATTTAAAAGTATATGCATTCCATTTCTTGCTTAAAAAATAGTACTTAATCTACAACGTACTTGCTGATTCAGTAGAGTAGCTCTAAGCTATACTGCGTTAGCAAAGAACACTAAAAATTTTAAAAATTGTGAATAATAAATATTAATAAATAAATATTATTGACTAATATAAATAAATAAACAAATATAAATGATAAATAAATAAATAAAAATAAACAACAGAAATAAATAAATTAGATCATTAAAATAATTTATTATTATTACCATTATTACATATGTAAAATTTATTTATCGAAGTTTACATCTTTGCTCGTGAACTTTAAAAGTTTCTAATGCAAATCGTTTCTAAAATCTATAGTCAAATATAGACAAACTTAATTAATAATAATAAAAATAAATAAATAATTATTAATAAATAAACAAATATAAATTATAAATAAATAAATAAGAATAAATAACGAAAACAAGTAAATTACATTATTAAATTCATTTATTATTTTATTTTACATCTTAGTTTACATCTTTGCTCATAAACTATAAAAGTTTGTAATCCAAATCCTCCTAAATTCTAATTAAAGGGGGTATTTGTAAAACAAAATTTTGATTGTTCCACGTTACAGGTGTAAATAAATAAAGTAAGTTAATGGATTATTTAATATAATTTTATCTCATTTTATTTCTCCAATAACATTTTGTTTGGGGTGGTCAAAACCCGTTTGGTTTCCCCCCGTGGCCTTTGCCCGTCCCTCTGCTGCTATTGTCCAAATTACATTTCCGAATAAAAAAAAATCGTTGTAATAAAATATAATAATAATTAATACGTATAAAATTGGTATAGTTCGTCAGCGTTGCAAATTTACATTCGGACGAAATAATAATTTGCAGTTGGTCGTTATACTAGGGGACTAATTATTTTTGACCGATACGCAAATATTTAAATAAACAAATGCGGCGGAAATTATAATAAATGCGAAATATTTATATAAAATGGGATTCGCCAAAATGCAATTTGCGCCTGCGGGGCCTGAAATTGTCCGTTTTCGCCCGCCTTTCGTGTTCGATCACCGCGACATCAGGACATGTAATTAAATATTTTAATCTTGGCCGATTTTGACGTCATTTGCAATATTTTCCGTTTCAGGCGATCATTTACGAGGGTCAGGACAAAAATCCAGAGATGTGCAGGGTGCTGCTCACCCACGAGATTATGTGCAGGTGAGTATTATTATTATTATTAGTTCTTCGTAGGGAAAATGCAAGGGGTTTTCACTATGGTAAGTTAGAATTACGTGCTGATACTTAGTGGAAGTATCAGTAATTATTGGAATTATAATAGTAATTTAAGAAACTTTTGGATATAATTCGATTAGAGGACACTTCCAGAAATATCCGGTTCTGTAGATATAAAAAATGGTGGTGTACTATAAGATGAAGAAATGACATATTGAGAAGTATTTACTATTTTAAGTAAGTAGTTTGAAAAGTCTTAAATGAGGAGTATATTTTCTCGGAACAACAATTTAGTTAAACAAATCGAAAAATTAACATAATTAAAAAAATATAAACAAAAGACCGCGTAAGCAAGGAAAAACAGGTCTAACTAATCTTCAATTTTATTTTGTTTGTCATGATGAGACATGAATATTTGAAAATAGTATACTAGGTCTTGGCAAGATATTAATATAAAAACTATAAACACCACTAAAGTTCATACGAACGGTATCTAAAATTTCTGTGGGAAACTTAAATTATAAATGTCATTTTATTATTTATTTTATGGATATAGTGAATAACATTTTCCTGTTTATTAGTTTTTGGGTACATTTTTGCAAAAACAATATGAATACATTCACTGGCATGATCGTCAAAATTCAAACAGTGCGGTAAAACCTCCGAAAACATCCGATTGCTCCTAAACCCGGGCGGAAAAACCCCGAAAATATCCGAAGTAGCTCGGTAGTATTTTAGATAGGTATTTTTTCTACTCCCGCCTGCAAAATGCCAAATTACACACCCATCTAGCGTGCGAGAAGCGTCACTTTTCCACATCAGTTTTATTTACTACGGATCCGAGACCTTCGGGCATTTCCGGGATTTTACCGCAGGGGTTTGGGAGCAATCGGATGTTTTCAGAGAAATTTGCCACGCCTTGAATTTTGACGTTTGTCAATCCTGACGGTCATGTCAAAAAGTAACGGTCCTAGATAAAGTATAGTTACCGCACTTGGGAGTAAAAAAAGTTGTTTTACTTACTTTTAATATCACTCTATAAATTTAAAGAAGCCCGAAAGCGGTTTCTTTATAACTGGCTTTTAATCCCCTTTGCAGAAACAAAACGTCAAAGTCGAATATTTTTATCGTGGGATTTCCAAAAAAAATGTCTCTTACTCACAAACCCGACCCCTACCCCCCTACAAAGCTGCAACCCCACTAGCGCGCGCTCTCGACGATGTACATTTCCATCCCTCATACGGCTAAGTATATCTTTTCTTTTCCCTGCAGCAGTCTTGTGTAACGACATGGGGGCCTTAAGGGGTGGGGGACGTTAAGGAACGGGAAGGCAGAGCGGGGTAGCGGCGCGGCCGGGGGCGAATTTCGGCCTTTCCCGGGGGACTTCGTCTTGCCCTGTCCCGTAGTCTTACAAGACGTTGGACCCATCTCTCTCGCGTAAGGGGACCCACCTACCCTCTCCCTACCCCCTCGCGAGAGCGATCATCGATGGCTGATTTTGCTTCTGGTGCTTGCGTGCGTGTTTAATTTATTTTTTTCAATTTTTTGTGAATTAAAAGTAAAATAATTCAAATCGCGCTTTGAAAAAACCCAAAAAGTAACTCCCCAAAAAACACATTTTCAAATTAATATTTTTTTGCTTGTAGTTTGGGTTGTATTAAAATAGATAAATCTCTGTTTTATTTTCAGTCGGTGTTGTGACAAGAAAAGCTGCGGCAACCGCAACGAGACTCCCTCCGACCCTGTGATAATAGATCGGTAAGTTTTTCCCTACCAATTTTTAAACTATAGACTGAAAGTGGCGCGGCTAATCAACAGACATTTCTACGAATCCACAGCTTACCCGCGGATGAGTTATTTGAACGTTGATTGTACACAAATATGGCACCTCGTTGCTCTGACCGGCAGTGGCATGAATTATTACCCCCGCGCACCAGTGGCGTCCACCCCCGATGACCCGTCCGCCATTTGGTTTCTTCGAAACAACTGTAACGTAACCTGATAATATGGGACTTTTATTTGTTCAGTGGTAGCGTAGAATATCACATACCAAACCGCTACTTCTTAGAACCAAACAGATTGACTAGTTGTTTAGCAGCGCTCAGCTACTTATCTCGAGTTAAATTGAGCTGCTATCTCTTGGTCCATTCCTGTGGAATGGAGAAGATGTAGGTATAGACTTCCAAAATATGATATCCATTATTTTCAGAGTGTGCTTCTCTAGACATGGCACCCACTAGACCTAGAGATAAAATAAAATATCCAGCTTCCGGTCTGAGCTGTGTTCTGTAACAGCTTAGGCGTACGAGTCGCCACTGGGGCCCGTTGTCATCGGCGATACCGGTTATGATGGAGTTTGTATGCAGATTCGTCCCGTCAGATGGAATTATCCCGGTTGAATAATCGCAAAAATACATTATATCGCGTTTCATTTGTCTGTCACGCGTGGTGCGTGCCCAGAAATCCCCGAATATTTGAATAGGGTGATAATTTGGTGGGACGCTATACATATACGTTCGCGCCCCGCGAGGGTTGTTCCGGCTCCAATTATCCCGTGGCGGTGCTCGAAAAAATCGCGAATTCTAAAGACGTCGTAAAAGTACACTGCACGTAAAATATATTTCTCAAAATCGACGATTGACAACACCCCAACTAATACGACCTTGTTACCATGAATTGTAGAACTTGAAGATCATCATCAAGATATAAACAGTTTATAAATAAACAGGTAGGATAAGGTAAACTCTTTTACCCCTGATGATTTGGAGTTTCGATTTGCTGTTAGCTAAGCTAACTGGGTTTGTATCCGTAATAGTTGTTATCCGTTCATTATGGTGCTCTTTGTCATGTATCTATCTCCACAGAAGTTATGACATAACAACTGTTTTACCTGTGACGATAAAATCTGCTGATGCCAGTTTGGTTACTTCCTATTGGCTTGAGTATAGCTGTCGGTGCAATGTCAGTATCTAATAGATGTACTCGAGTATTAACTCGAACTGTCTTCTACATCTTTGATACATGATACTACATACAACATGATAGGAACAATTTAGGACTCTCTTTATCCGCAGATAAACATTCTCTCTTAAGAGAAGATCTAACTGTTTCAGCTGTAATAACAAGTTCTTCATATCTGTTGATAGTGTATACTTGGTCTAAAACGTTCGTTTAAATGTTATTATAAAAAAGTCACATCATCAATGTGTCTCTCTATCATCATCGGAGAGATACTTTATGACTCTCTTGTATCTCTCTTTGATAAGAGAGCAGCGGAGATGACATAAACGATTCTGTGATGGCAAGTTATTTATATCTACGGATAATGCCAACTTGGTTGTGGTGTAGCCGTAGTTGTAAACTCAGTATTTCACTGATGTTCTTGAGTATCTGTATGCAGTTACTCTTCAGTTCATAAATCTATCTATCTATCATAGAGATAGTTTATCATTCTCTCATTATCATCAAACCAACATTCTATGATGAACTATTTCACCTATGATTACGAATAGTACCAGCTTGGTTGTTGGGTAGCTGTAAAGTTAGTATTTAACTGTATTTATATGTGTGCAACCTTTTTGTCTAAAACCATAATTTGAAACTTCAAATCATAAATCTATCTAACATTCAACATCGGATAGATGTTTCATGACTCTCCAATCATCAGCAGATTGCAAAGATTACATGGACTGTTTTGATAAATTCTTCATATCTGTTGGTCGTGCCTGTCTATCTGTCAACATAATAGGAACAGTTTATGAATGTTATTATCAGGAGATAAGAGAGGAGCTAAGATAACACAAACTGTTTCACCTGTAATAACAAATTCTTCATTTGTATTGATAGTGTATACTTGATTATGGTGTAGCTGAAGAGTTATTTCTACAACTTCTTGGTCTAAAACATTCGTTTAAATGATGTGATAAAAATAAACTTCAGATCATAAATCTATCTATCTATTAACATCGGAGAGATATTTTATCACCAAATAAAAATCCTGTATCCCGCTTTGGTAAGGCAATGGCGGAGATGTCATAAACTGTTTCACTTGTGATGTCAAATTCCTTACATCTACTGACAGTGCCAACTTGATTGAGGGGTAGCCGTGGTCCTAGTCAGTAAAGTCAGTCTCTACAGGTGTGCAACCTCTTTGTCTAAAACAGAAATTAGATACTTCAGATGATTTTGCATGAACTGTGATGATAAATTCTTCATATATGTTGATCGTGCCAATTAGTTCAAGTGCCTACAAATTTGTATTAGTGTTGAAGTAGCTCACGTGGTTGCAAATTCAATATTTTCATGAGAATTTACACGACAACGGCTGCTATAGCTCCCTCAATATACTAGTAAAAGTTTTTGATACAAAAACGTTGGTAAGATCTCCATCAATAATTCGTTTACGACTTACCAGGAGCTATTTCGAGCAATTGTTATCTTCCCCCCGATTGAACCCGTACCCTTATCGACACCAGCCCGCTTCCTTCCCGGATCAACTTGCTTAATGAACAGGAAATAACACGATGGAAGACGAGCGACGATCAATTGAGCTGCGGAGGGATCCACGGGCAGTTGCGATCCTTTTAATAGATTCACTTACAGTGTAAGTCTTACACCCTTTAAATGTGTCACTTTGTCGAATCGCCGTTTGCATCCCGCTAAAGGCTGATTGCGTCCTTGAAGGCAATGATGCAACAGGACGGCGGGCCTAATCCCAGCTCTCCCCGTACCCCGCGCCGCCCGCGGAGTGCTTGGAGTGGGGAGTAATTTGCAAATTGGTGCTATTACGTGTCGGATAAATACAACCCGGGTGTTCCGTGACTCGTATGGCGATCACCGTCTACTTGGGGCATTATTGTAATCGCTTTTATGGAAAATGTGAAGGCGATGTTGCCACTTTACATAACCCGGGGTCACCCCCTTTAACCTCTTAATGCGCACCTCCGTGACATATATGTTTCAGAATATTATAGCTCCGTATGGGTCACGGTTAATATAGAAATAAAATTTTTCAATTATGTTAAGTATAATTTAATTTTAAATATAATATATTTTATCTCCGGTAAGATTTTTTTTATTGTTGAATATTTCGAAATTTATTTAGAAAAAATTGTTCCACCAAATGTGTTACCAAGATGATTCTGAGTTTGAGCATGCCAATTTATCAAAAGGAGGAATTGACGATAGCGAAGTAGAATCGGAATCGGATGATGAACAATCAAATGATATCGGGTAGTTTATTGGTGTCCCAGGTTATACATTCAATTCAGATAATTTTACAGTATACGAATATTTCCAATTGTTTCTTCATAATGAATTGATAAACTTATCGTTAATTGTTTTACTATTTAAATCGCTATGCAGAACAACAACTACAAAGATCGTCTGGTGTTATATTGCTCATAAAAACAGAGGCAATGCAAATATTTTTATTTATAAATATAATTCAAGGAATACTAAAAAGACCAGAAGAAAGAATGTACTGGACAAATAAAGACATCTTTGCTACTCCAGTATGTCAAAACTAACGCCTTCAAATCGATCCAAAACTAAACAAAATTTGGCCTATTTATAAAGCTCTAAATAGAAAATTTAGTGCATTTTATATACCTGAACGAGACATAAGTGTAGATGAAAGTTTGTTATTGTACAGAGGATGATTGTGTTGGATCCAGTACATCCCTCCAAAACGATCTTGTTTTGGGATAAAAATCTACATGCTCTGCGAATCTAAAACACTGTACTTGTATTCGTTTATTATTTATACTGGAAAAGGAATCATAATATTCCAAAAATATATAAACATGCCTATGAATTCACAGATCGTATGGTCGTTAGCAGATTACAAGTCCTTACAAGCAGCAGATTTCCTGCTGATTTATATGGTACTCTGAACAGAAACCATTTACCACGACAACTTGTGACTAAAGAAACTAAGAAAGGAGAATCTGTAGCATTCCAAAGAAAAAAAGTCGTGGTAATGAAGTGGCATAACAAGAAAGAAATTTGTTTCTTGTTGACAATTCCCAAGGACGAAAATGTCCTGCGAAGAAAGTTAAAGAAGGATATCCCATAAAGTAACCTAAATTAATTGAGGACACCATGGGAGGCGTCGCTAGATTAGATCAACACTTTGACTATCAACTAACTAAAAAAACTGGGGAAAACTACTATAAAAAAATATTTATGCATTTATTTGATGTTGCTCTTTTCAACTCTCTTATGTTGAACAAAAAGCATGTAGGAGCGATGAATAATTTCGAATACAGAACAAAACTGATAGAACAATATCACTTGAGTGCAAGAAGAAGGCAGGGCGACAAAGACATATGGGACCATTACGACTAAAGGAATTTAATAAATTAGATAAAATAAGGACAAATAATAATTATTTGCAAAAAAATAAATCTTTTTTGTGTACCCAAAAATTTGCATTAAGTGGTTAAGATGTAGTTATAATGCGGATTATGGTTACAGTATCACAAAATGCTTTGCCAAGTGTATGGAAGGGATGTAAATTCTGACGTCTGATGCGCTTTGAGGCAAATAAAACGTATAGGCTCGAAAAACCGCTCATTTTCCTTCGCATACTGCAAATTCCTCGTTACCCGGATTTCCTAGTCGATTTGGCAACGCGGCGCCCGATCGACGCGACTTCCCGGCAGTGCCTCATTAATTCGAAACGGCACGCGTCGTCAGTACACTTTTTTTAAACGTGCAAAAAGTGATTAGGCGGGGGTTTATTTAATTCCGCTGAG